TGCTGCTACATGCTACATGCCGCTTGCGGGTGCGGATGCGGATGTGGATGCGAATGGTGGGAGGCATGTGGCATGTGGGCGTATGGGGCAGCCACGCCCGTTAGTTTGACTTACACCTTAGCCTCCGACTCTGCCCCCGCCTCAGCCTCTCCGGTTCTACCGCTCTACGGCTCTTTCGCTCCGCGGCTGTTCGGCTCTTTGCCTTTTCTTTGAGGGGGTAACATGTGCGGGTCGTTCTCCTCTCTGTTTTTGTTTCTGGGGCTTGGGGTTGGGACTGGGGGTTCGGTTTCTGTTCCCTGCTATTTATGGCAGCAGCTGTTTGCCAGCCCAACACAGAAAAAAAATATGTAGAGATGTGGCTGGTGGCAGTGGCAGTGGCAGTGTGAGGGAGTATCTGGTGGCAGTGGCAGTGGCAGTGGCAGCAGCACCTTCTTGCCACGCATACAAATGGCATCCAATTGATTTACTTGTGCTGTGGCGGCAGTCATTTGTTTCACCCTCTGCCACTTGTTCGCTGCTGCTGCAAAACTTAAATTTGCCCCCCTGAAAATTTGACTGAAAAATGGAAATCGAGCCGTGCATTTTATGGCCCCCATCGCACACGAGAAGCAAAGTGAAGTCGCCGCCAAGGAAATCGTTTTGGGAATATTCTACTCACATAGTATATGTGTGTATGTGTGTATATGCACTACGATAATAAATGGAAACCCAATTTAACGTTTTGGGCTTTTATTAAATTTGTACTTAATTTCATTGCTTCATTGCATGTTAAATGCATTTTAATTTGCTTTTTTTTTCTCGCTTTATTTGTTTTATAATTCTATTTAATATGGCGCACACACACACACACACACACATGCACAAAAAAGTAGAGAGGAAAAATCTGTTGGAAAAACATGCACAGAAATTTGCGCCCATTTTGCATTGCTTTTTCCTGTTTAATATTAAGCAATAAAATTTCTATCGGCAACAAAAAAACACACACAACAGCCGTTCTTTTTCTTTCCCCTCTCCGTCCGTCTGTTTGTCTGTTTGTCTGCTTGTCCGTCCCTTTTCTGTCAATGTGTGTCTGTCTCTTTCTGCTCTTTCCACCTGTTTATGCAAGCCAATAAATGCTCCCCACCTGTGTGTGTGTGTTGTTTGCTTTTGTGTGTGTGTGTTGTGTGTTTATGCTGCAATAACTGTAAATGACAAACAAATGCGCCTGTTAAAATCGTTGATTAAAATCAGCATAAACACACACATACAGGACACACACTGACATTGGGCACACACACACACACATAGGGGACAGAGGACAAAGGACAAAGGCCAGAGAGAGAGAGTGAAGGCGGGCGGGGCAGGGATCAGAGCTCCAAATAAGAAAAATAATAGTAAGCAAGCCCGAGCAGAGGATTCGACTCAGTGGATGCCCTTTGCTGCCCTGCCCTGCCACATGGAAACGGGGCATCGGTATGCCGAGGTCGAGATGCCCCTAAATTAATTCCCCAATTCTCAGCAATCCACTCGAAGGCAGAACCACTTTCAACCTCTTATCATACCAATCTGCATGCAATCTGCAGCATGCAGCATGCAGCATGCAGCCCATAATTTCTATAATTGCTACATAAATCCTCATCAGAAATGCAATTCCAATCAGTGAGTATTCCGCACGCTGCCCCCCCAAAGAAAACACTGCCAAAAAAATATTAGGCACAAGTGAAATGATTCGACGAGGGAATGACCTAGACATGACAGCAGATGCATAGGGAACTTGGCCCCACAGATATTCATACGATAAGTGCCACAATCGGTGCGCAGGGCATCGTATTTGCTGCAGTCCAGAGGCTCTAAGAATAGTACAAGAGAAAAACTCATCTCTGTGGCTCTGATGGAGCCCAATATGCCCGCACGCACACACACACACACACACACACTCACAGCTAATGGGTGGCAACAGGGCAAACATAGAGTGCAGTGCATGCTGCGAAGAGGCTGGACAGAGGCTGGACAGAGACAGAGACACAAGGGGACGGTGGTCGAGTGAGCAGGACAATCAGCCGAAGGGAGACTCCATGCAGTGCGTCATTTATGCGGGCCTATAAGCGCACACACACACACACACACCCATAACAAATGCTGGGCAGGTGGTGGGCAGTGGGCAGTGGGGGGGAAAGTGGCACCTGGTGCCCAGGCTTCAGGTAAATAAGTTTCACTTTAAAGCAAACAAGCAGTTTCCAGGAGGCAGCCAGTCAGCTTCCTGCCTGCCTCTGCCTGCCGCCTGTCTGCCCACACAACAAAATGGCTTCTGTCCCCGCATATGCATGTGTGTGTGTGTGGGTGTGTGTGTGGGTGTTCTGGCTGCTAGTTGCACAGCCTGTAAATGTCATTGGCAGACACACACGAAAATATTTTAATAACTACTCGTATTCGTCTCCGTTTTGCTGCACTTCGTGGCAAATGTTTTCATTAGCCACAAAAACAACAAGAACGAAAAAAAGGGGGAAGAAAGCAAACCAGAAAATAGAAAAGAGGAAAACAAAGGGAAAATGGCAAATGGAAATGCGAGAACTACGACGAGATAGTCAATTAAGGATGGGACCAGAGAGAGAGGGAGCGAGCGAGAGCGAGAGACGGCACCCGGAGTACTCGTATAAGTAATTCCAACAAACAAATGGTTCTCCCTGGACAAACTTCCACTCTAAAGTGGAGGCGATTTGCTACCCAGACGAGTAATACGAGCTGCTCCATCCATCCGCCATCCGCCATCCGCCATCCACCATCCACCTCGATCCCCAAAGGAGTCATAACCGAGGCAAACATATTCGGCAATTGCAAAATTGCGCTAATCCATTCTTCTTGTGCCATGAGAAGGCAGATGCAGATGGAGACTGAGACGGGCTGGCGGATGGCGTAGTGTTGGATATGCCAGTAAAACAGTGTTGGCAGCTTTCGCTTAAAGCAACCCTGCAAAAATGATACCCAACCGATAGGCAGTGCCGCCTGTTGAGTGCTGCACAATGCAACACAGTGTTGGCAAGTCACTTTGGAGGCGACTTTCCGGTTCGAAGCACAAATCAAATGCCCCGGGGGAGGCTAAGGATAAGCTCCATCCCTCATTGAGGCTGCCATTAAATGCACTAAATTGCTTAACCAATTTTAGCAATTGAACACCGCCCCCCGCCCGCCCGTACTGTGTTTTATGCCCCTTTTTGGGCATGGGTATGGAAGAGGAGGGGGTGGTGTTGATGAAATGGAAGTGGCATCCAAAGCCAAACAACATTGTTATTATTTTTAAAAGCGATTTTCGAAACCCGTACGCAGCTGGGTCTCGTTAAAAGCACAAACAGCCAGCACAGGCGCAAGGATATGGGCAGATAGAGCAGCAAAACCCACTTCCTGTTCAGCCCCCGCACACACACAGAGAAAACCTCCTACCCCGTACCACATATGGACATGGAAAGCAGTTAGCCCCGCGGTGTATACACATAAGTCATTTATTGAAAATCCACTGCAGCAGCAGCAGCGGGAGCAGCAGCAGCGGCAGCGGGAGCAGCAGCAGCAGCGGCTGGCCACCAGCAAACAGGAACAGGAAAAGCAGGAAAAGCGAACGGCAACGGCAACGGCAACGGCAACGGCTGCCGTCCAAAGTATGACAAACAATAGCCAAATGGGTTTTTCCTACAACAACAATTTTTCAATATGCTCCCCAACCAAAATGACCAAAAGAGCCCCAGTCCCAGGCACAGTCCCAGTCCCCAGTCCCCAGCCCAAAACGAAAGCAAAGGGAGAAAGCAGGCTGGAAAGGATGGAAAATTGCCATCTTGTTGTTGCTATTTGTGCTCGTTATTGTTTTCCCCACACGGTAGCGGAGGCTGCAGCAAGGGAATGATGGGCGCAGCAGAGGAGAATGTAACAGGGGAGGAGTCACAGATCAACGAGAGGGCAACGGAACGCAGGCCGTTTTTACGATTTATTAATTGAGGGGTATAGCCATGGTCTAGAGTCCAGAGACTTACTGCCGCTTGCCCATTATTCCGCATTGTGGCGCTTCGCTCTGCAGCAGCTACAGCTACAGCTCCAGCTACAGCTCCAGCCCCAGCCGCAGACATTCGCAGACAGACACACACAGACAAACAGATGCAGCAGCCGATGGGCGGTGGGCGGTGGCCAGCCAACACTTCTGGCCAAGGCTAAGAACATTCATAGGTCGATTGTCGCTGCCATTAAGTGTGCATAAATGTGACAAGAACAATAATAAAAATGAAAGCACCAAAGAGCAGCAGGGGAGGAGGAGGCGGCTGCTTCCCTCCCAGGGACCCAACCAAGCGCAAATGGAAGAAGTGTGGATGCCCTTACAGGGTGACGACAAATGTGGCCCTTCAACTTTTGTGTGCTAGAAATGAAACTCCATATTTGTATGCATCTTTATCTTAAAGGTTTTTCTTTTTGGTTGTTAATTCTCTCTCACTCAGGACAGACAGGCTCGACGCCCAAAAGGCAGAGCAGCGTACAAATATCGAAAGATCTGTTGGATTTTCTTTTTTGTATTATTTGCTCCATTTGGCGGACTGGTGGGACTGTTTGCTGTGTTGTTTACCAGCTGCAAGCGAGGGGAGAACGCGGAGCAAGCCGAAGCCTTTAAATGAAAATTGTCAGAAAATAAATTTTAATTTCTGACACTGGCCACGGGGCAGTGCGGTGGAAAATGAATGGGAGGGGCGACTGAACGACTCAATGGTGAAGGCTGATAAGCAGAACTGAAATTCTATATTGGGTTTCATATTTACAGCCTCGAGTATGCCCCACGTATGGACTTTTGTGCGTATCGATGAATGTCTATCGAACACTGTGTCTATCGGGAGCGGAGCATGGTCACACTGCAGCAGCGCAGTAGAAAAAGTCAGCGAAAGTGTACAAAATTCGAGTGGGATTTGAGAACAAAGTCAGAAAGATACCCGTAGGTATTGGCTCTGGAAGGGAACTGATAAATTTGCAGGATCAAAACGCCTCTCGGCATTATTTACTTCGCGTGCTGATTGATTGTTTGATTGTTTCAAATACAATGTGGGCATTTTTAAATGATTGCTGCGGCATCTGGAGCCTATTGGGATTCTGGATAATTATCTTCATGGGTCTGCCTGCTGTGGTGGCTTTTCGTTCCGACTTTGACACCATGGAGCTGCAGCGATGTCGCCTTTCGGGCTTGGACACCAGCAGCATCGCCCTGTTTCTGGACGCTCTTTGATGATCACAAAAGGAAGTACGAAAGGCAAGGGGAGCAGGATGTGGAGGAGAAGGATGTGGACAAGCAGTAACAAAAATGAAGCATTGCAAAAGGAAAGGAAAGGAGAGGAAGCGGAGCTGAAGCTGAAGCTGGTTTCAGGCAAAATTAAACATAATCATGTGCTGCATAAATATGCGAGTGGAGTGGGGAGTGGAGTGGGGAGTGGAGTGTGGCCCTGCTATTGATATTTGGCTAAAAGCAGCAGCAGAGCAGCGACTGCCAGAGTTTGCACAGTGCAAACAGTGTGCATTTCTGGAAGAGGGACCCACATTCACATACACATACACTGGACACCCAGCACCCCAGCACCCACACCCCACACCCACACCCCACACCCACACCCCACACCCACCGACAGTAGTTAGAGTTCCAAATCAAACAGTACTGCAACCCCCCGCACACACATACGACACGGTCCGATGAATATGTTTATGCCAGTTGGCTTTGCAATAACTTCATAAATATTCACGAGGAACCAACTCTGGTACATGCTGCATGCTACATGCTACATGGCACCATGGCTGCATGGCCACATGGCTACCAATCCACAAATCGATGCACACAAAATTTAAATTCAAATTCAAATTCGTTAAAACAGAAGAGACAAACTGACAGAGACACAGAAGAGGATAATGGGACGAGATTTAATGGTGAGTACCGAGCTGTAATGCAATTATGATTTGACCAAACCCAACCCAACCGACGACTGTCAATTAAATGGCAAATTTACAACACTTCCCGCAGTACAGGCAGAGGCACCGGCACAGGCAGAGGCACAGGCAGAGGCACAGGCAGAGGCACCGGCACAGGCGATGGAATGAAATCATATAAAATATCAATAAACCACACACAAATTTATGGCAGAAACAAACACACAGAGTGAGAGGGAGAGAGCAGCAGCAGGAGCAGCAGCAGGAGGAGCAGCAGGAGCAACAGAAGAGTGAGTATCCTGCAGCATTGCATTCTGTGGATGCTCTCCACATCCGTTTCCCATGCTCGTAAATAAAATGCACTCCTTGCGCTCTCCTCTCTGGCAGAGATCCCGAGACACAACCAGAGCCAGAGCCAGAGCCACAGCCAGCGGCAAAACGATGACGAGCTGACGATGTCATTGTAAATACCATAAAGAAAATCGTTGCCGACGTGCTGTGTCCATGTCCCGTACTGCACCGTGTGCCCTTGTCTGTGTGTGTGTGTGTCTGTTGCCTCTTGCCGGTGCTTTCCTTACCCTTCGTAGCACGACCAAAGGAGCATCCGCATCGCATCCAGGAAGCCCTGCAAAATGTTATTTATTGGAATTGTGTAATAAATGTTACCGAAAGTGCACTCGACATAAACGAAATGTTGCATCCACACGAGTACATCCATCCAGCAAGGAGGAGGCTGCTGGCATTAGGAGCCCCCCCCCCCTTGCAGCGAGTAATGCAAATGAGGAAGGAGCAGCAGCAGCAGCAGCAGCAGCAGCAGCAGCAGCAGCAGCAGCAGGCAAGGATGCCATTATCCATTATCCAGCATTAGGTCTGCTCTCCCCCTTCGGCCTTGGGAACCGAACACCGATGCGCAGACTGGCTGCTGGCCAGAGAGATCTTCATTATCAATGGGATTTCATATTCACTTACCTTCAGCTGCCAACTGGGACCTTGTGGGACTGACTTGTGCGATGTCTTAATGCTCGTCGGAGTATTTGGCTCCGCGCTCTGCTCTACGTATTGCTGCCAGCAGGATCTGCCGGCCGTGTGATGCCTGCCCTCAGAGCTACGTGCCCTGTGGGCCTCTAGTGGGGCTGATCGCTCACTTAGAGCCACAGCGGCTACGTGCGACCACGAAACACTTGGCCGAGCATAGCGAGCATTGGCCAGTCTCTCGGTCTGGACCCTGGGACACTGAACTCTGCCCCCTCTGCAGGCGCCATGGCTCCAGGCATTTTGGCCAAAACGGAAACTGGTCCTTGGGGCGTCGACGCTTTGGCTTTGGGCTTTGGGCTTTCGGCTCTGTGTCTGTGTCTGTCTGTGTGGCAAGTGACAGGCCCACACAGGCCGCACATATGGCCACCCACAGGATACGACTGCTACTTCTGCTGCTGCTGCTGCTGCTGCTGCTGCTGCTGTAGATGTGTGTGTGTGTGTGTGTGTGGCACCTTTTTCGTGTGTGTTTGTGTGTGTGCGGACTGCTCTTTGTCCCGAAAATTTGCATCGATTTGATTTATATGCAAAATATTTAAATTTTATTGCCAGTTTGCATATGGCCCATACCAACAGGAGCAGCAACAGCAGCAGCAGCAGCAGGAATCCCCTGGGCTTAAGTGAGATCGATAGTTATAGTTGTAGCCCACACACACACACACACACACACAGACACATCCTTTGCTATCCTCTTCCATTCTATCCAAATATTTTTGGGGTCGTTTAAAGAAGAAACATCTGAGCTGAGCTGAGCTTCGCTTAGCTTCGGACTGGTGGAGTGCCAAGGCGGCAGAGCGGAAGAGCGGAGGAGTGGAGGTGTAATTTATGCAGCTTTTTGGTAATATTGAAATCGAAATTTAAATGCAAACAAGGGAAAGTGTTGGGTACCCAGCACCTGGCACCTGGCACCTGCCCCTGCCTCTGTGTCTGTGCGTCTGTGCGGAATGGAAATAGAATGAGAATCGATTACGGAAATTGCGAATAAATTACAGCCTAAATAAATTATGTGCTCGGACAATCGATGCCCATATTGGGCAGTACTTTAATATCTATTTTGGCATAATATCTAAATATCCCATATATTATAAATGCAACATGCAACATGCAGCAGCAGCAGCAGCCTCAAGGAGCAGCTTCAAATTCAACTAATGAGTCCTTGAGTCGAATTGTGTCTCCTTTAGAGCTCGACTTGCTGCAACTTTATTCATTTTTCATACTGTCAGAACAGCAAGAACCCCTGGCAGGGCAGGACAGGGCAGGGCGTGGGCGTGTCAGAAATTATGTTGATTGTTTGCTTTAGCCAAGGAAATAATTAAGCAAGACGAGGCAGCAGGCAGCAGACAACAGGCAGAAGAGGCAGCAGGAGCACATCCAGAGGCAGGCAAGGACTCCACGGAGACACGGAGACGTCGCCAGACGTCCTCCGTCGCACTTGGCGCCAAGTCAAAAATATATGTATGCATTTTCTCGGTATACATTTCCCGGAGCAGCAGCGGCAGCAGCAGCAGGAGCGGCAGCGGCAGCGGCACAAAAACCAACCCAAATCCAAATTGTCAACAGCTTTTTGTGCGTCGGCTCCTCCTGATTTTCCTTTTTATTATTCCTTTTTTTGTTGTTGAGCAAACTTAATCTAATTAGAGGGCTACTTGGAGCTGAAGTTTTGATTTACATTTTGGGGGCTGCCAGGAAATTGCAGACCGCGTGGAAATTAGCCGGAAAGGGACGCCGACGCCGACACCGACACCAACACCAGCACCGGACAGCGACAGCGACCCAATTCTGACCCAAAAGTTGCATCAATTTCCGGTTAAATCGTTTGACGATATTCGCGCTAAAACATTTTTGGAGGAAATTCAATTGAAATTGAAATTGATCGAAAATGTGCAGCGTATTTTCGGGTTTGGTTCGATTGCAGCTCCATTTGGGGTTGATTTTATCGCATTTCATTAGCAGAAGGAGGAGCCGTCTGGTCTGATTGGGGCCCAAATCTAGTTCCAATTCCATTTTACACATGCTTCATTTTGTGATTGAAAACTCGTGTAGCCCACCAACCGCATTGTTTGATACTCGTTGAATTTCATTCATTTATTTTCGCTAAATTTGGAAATAGCACAGGAGAGCTGTGAGCTGAGAGGGATCCTTTGTCCCTTGTCCCTTGTCCGCTGGCATCTTTTGTTTGGCCAAACTGGCAAATATTTAACAAATGAGACGATGGGCGAACAGAAGAGTCCGCTTGATGCGAGCGATAAGCCTCGTCTCGCCATGGGGCCATGAATAAATTAGTTAGCCACGAGGCCTCCGCCCCACCCCCCCCGACACCCAAACATCATCATTTTTTTGGAGGGCCACTACTCAGCAGAATGCAAAATAAAGTACTATATTGTACACAGTGAGGTAGTTTGCCCCCAGCATTCCACAAGCAATTCTCAGCGCTGCGCCACGATCTGGGTCCCCAGCCAGCACAAAAATTATCCAAAATCACGTCCAAGCGTAACCGAAGAGCCAGGCTCAGGGTTAATATTTAAATCCATAAGTAAATTTAAATTTAAATTTAAAAGTAATTTAAGTAAATTTAAATTTAAAATAATTTTTAATAAATAAATTTTGAAGCTGGCTCTTCGGTTCCGCTTGAACGTCATTAAATGAATGAAATTAAATTTAAACTTTAAATTTAAATATATTGCAGCTGCAGTGCATAATTTAGCTGGTGATGGAACTGATCTGTTTGGTGCATCTGAAAATTAACGAATTGCACGAATTGTGCACCTCATGGATGCTCAAGAGACACCACTGACCACTGACTCGAATACTGTTCTACTGTGGTTTGGGCCTGGCCCCTGCAGAAGACAGCAAACCCACTTAATTATTTAATATTTATTATTTATGTTTATGAGGTTTATGTTCCAGCCCAAAGAGCAGCTCTCGATTGTTCATTCAACTGATTCTTGCTTAGAGCATAATTAACATTGCCATTAGCATTCTTTTCGTTTCCGTTTGCTGCCATTCCAGGAGTTGCATACTTTTCGGCTTTAAATTGAATTAAAGCCGCCTGCAGGGGCGATAAAAGTCGCGATAAAAGTCGCGCCCAGAACGTGACAAACGACGAGGCTGTTAAAGTCGCAAGCAAACAAAGGACCACAGCAGAGCAGGAGCACTGGCTGTTGATGGGTGGGGGGTGGGGGGTGGGGGGAGTTGTAATGCTTACATTTTGGGCGGGCCATCGGCTGGGACCGAGACTGGTACTGGGCCTTGGCAGTTGTTAATCATTAAAGCCGCCTCCGGGGAGTGGCCCAAGATTTTGGTCAGATTTATTCATTAGCCGTGGGGAATCGGCACGGACCACGGGAGGAGCATTAAATATTTAGGCAGTAGTTCGTCCATGGGAGACGAGACGCGACGAGACGACACCGAATCCGAATCCGAATCGAAGGAGCAGCCGGAAAAGGAAAAGGAAAAGCGAGTGGAGGCAAAGTGGAGATGCAGATGGGAAAGGCGGGTGGGTGGGTGGTTGGCTGGTTGGCTGGTTGGCTGGGTTGCAAATGTGCATGCACTCCCCGCACCCCGCACCCCTGCATCCGCGCACCAACCCATTTTCTTCCTGCAATTTGCACTCAATTGCAATTTCCGTTTCGGCGCTGCCATTTGATACGTGTTCCTCCCCCATGCACGCCATCCACCCCTCCACCCCACCATTACCATGCCCATTCCCCCCGCCTACGTGCTGAGGGTGGCGAAAACGCGCTGAAATTTGTTTTGCCATTTTGTTTAGTTGTTAGTTGTCCCTGAACCCCCTCGCTGCGTGAGGAGTGGGGAGAGGAGTGGGGAGAGAAGCGGCATGGCAGCAGAGGTTTCTTTCTTTTTTAAATATCAATATAAAACGTGACAGAATGGACTTTTGCCTGCACTGCACTGAAATTCGGTGGCAAGCAGCCGGCCCGGCCCGGCCCGGCCCCATTTAAAGCGTTAAGCAAATCTTGCCACCGGGGGGAGGAGCAGCATTTCCGTAAGCGGTTTAACTGCTCGAAACGTTGCCCAGGCATAAGTAGTGTGGCGGGGAGGGGAGGGGGAGTTGGGGTACTGCCCACACGAACTATAATCTGTTCAGAGATGCGTGTGGGAGGCGACAGCTGAAGGAGCATAATGCGACCCGGGCTAAGCCTCAGCCTCAGTTCTCAGCCTCAGTTCTCTGCCTCAGTTCTCAGTTCTCAGCCTCAGCCTACTTGCCCCACACTGACTCGAGGCAACAGTTTGTTTTGCTGCTTTCATTCTGCTGTGGCATGGCTGATTGCCGATTATGATTAAATGATGGAACACGGGAAAAGTATTCATTCAATTCTGCGGATATGGGACACCCAACAGGGACAAAATCCCCTGATTTTCCACCCCACAAATTTCAACTGTTTTCCCATTCAGTTGGCTTGGCTCTAGGCCTCAACCAGTGTCTGCCCAGTGTCGATTCTATTCATTGCTATAACATTGTGGCACGACACGAACTACGACCATATTTATTTAACAAAATGCCGCAACAAAACAAGCAGACAACACAGTCCCAGCCACAGGCACAGCCACAGCCAAAGGCACAGCCACAGCCGCAGGTGGAGCTGATGGGTCAGCTCAAGGAGCAGCTATTGGAGGAGTTGAAGAGAGAAATCAAAGACGAGCTCAAGAAAGAGCTCAAGAAAGAGATTCTGGTGGAGAAGAAAACAAACAAACAGCCAGACTGTGGCAAGCAGACCCAGTTCCCGGAGCTGGAAGAGGAATCCCAGAAGAAAACAGATCAGCAGGCCAAGAAGGAGAAGGAGAAGGAGATCAAGAAGGAGCTAAAGAAGGAGCTAAAGAAGGAGCTAAAGAAGGAGATAGTGAGCGAAAAGCAGACAGAAGCAGTAGAAGAGCAGCAGCAGCAGCAGCAGCAGCAGCAGTCGAATAAGTTGGATGAGTTCATGGCGACGCTGATCGAGAAGCTCAACAAGCAGATCAAGGTGGACAAATGGGCAATGGTCGCGAGCAACAAGCAGGTGAGGGTGAAGGAGGATCTGTTCGATAAGATGACCAAACGGATACTGGAGGAGTTCGTTCTCAAGAAGAAGAAGGAGCCCCTGGGCCCGGAGCCCAAGTCTGGGGCCCTGTCCGAGAGGGTAAGGCAGCTGCAGGAGGAGATCAACGCCATCGGTAAGAGAAAGGAGTTCAAGGAAGCCCAGTTCGAGAAAATCTTGGCCGGGAAAATCAACGAGATGAAGGCGATCGCAAAGCAGAGCCAGAGCCAGGGCCAGAGCCAGAGCCAGAAGGAGTCGCCCACTGGGAACAACGGGCAGAAGGAGAACCAGATCGATAAAAAGAAGGACAAGGACAAGGAGAAGGAGAAGGAGAAGTGGCCGCTGATCGACTACAGCAAGAGCCTGCAGATGTCGAGCCACGAGCAGGAGAAGCTGGCCAAGAACTTGAACGACTTCAAGGAGTTCTCCAAGCGGATTACGCAGTCCATGGCAGAGCGGGAGTCCCGGCCAGACTGCCTGAAGGATCTGCAGCTCCAGAAGAAAGCTCAGATGCAGAACCTAACGAAGGACTTCCGCACTGCCATTTCGCTGGGCAAGAAACATAGGAAACAGATCAGGGAGGAGAAGCAGGATAAGCAGGATAAGCAGGATAAGAAGCAAGCCACCAAGCAGCCCATTCCAGATCGCAAGTCCCAGGAGGATGGAACTCTAGGCGAGAAAATCAACGAGTTCAAGGCGGCGCTCGATTCGCTGGGCCAATCCATAAATCAAATCAAACAGAAGCTAATTAGCGAAACGAAACAGGCCCAGGCCCAGGCCCAGACCCAGACCCAGCCCAAGGAGGATCCTCCCATTAACGACGGGCAGAAGCCGGCCAAGCAGGAGAAGGACGCCACCACTGGGGTCGAGCAGGCAGAGCAGAAGGACATGTCGCAGCAGGCCATGCAGCAGCGCAAGGCGGAGCTGCAGAACGCGACAATGGCCGACAACATTCACGCGATGGTCTTCAAGGTGTCGGAGAAGTGCTTCCGCAACTGCGTCAACAGCTACACCACATCGCTGGAGGCCCAGGAGCGCTCGTGCATCAATGACTGCATGAGCACCTACATTGACTCCTACCGCCTGGTCAATCGCGCCTTCGTCAAGCGCATTCACTCGGAGCACAGGAAGCGCAGTGAGCAGCGCGAGCAGCAGCAGCGCGAGCCCAAGAAGTAGAAGTCAAAGCCGTTGCCAGAACTTTGATTGAAGTTTGGCGACACGACAAATTGTTACTCCCCAAAATTGTTGGTTGTTTTTGCTGTTTTGGAATTTTGAATTTGGATTATAAATACACGAAATTGTGTGTGTGGCTGCGCGTAGGTTCTGCTCTCTTTTGCTGTTTTGCTGTTTTCAGTTGAAGAGGGAATCATTACTCCCATGGAATGGGAATGGGACTGGTTAGGGGTATGTGGGCTGTCTGTCCGAATGAGTTTGCGAGGCAGAAGGCAGATTCCGTTTATGATTGCTCTCCTGCTGCGTAGAAACAGTTTGGCTTGGCATTGGAATCCGGTTAACATCATCAACTGTTCTGTTTTCAGTTTCCCATCAGGGGCCCATCATCATCAACATCAGACAGAGCAGAGCAGGGCAGGGTAGAGCAGGGCAGGGCAGGGCAGAGCAGGGCAGGGCAGAGGCTGTGCGAATGGAATGGGCTGATGCTGATGCTGTGGAGGGGCATGTGGGATGTGCCATTGGGCGGCTGGGGTCAAGGGGTCGTTGCTTCTACAGTTTTGGGTACATACACTGCCACTGCCACTGCCTCTGCCTCTGCCACTGCCACTGCCTTTGAGGCGGCGCTGCCTGAATAGCGGTCCGCTGAAACTGAAGCTGAATAGCGGTAGCCTCTGTTCGCATTAGTGGCGTGGCGGTACATCCGAGTACATCCTATGTATATCTATGGCGGAGCCAACCAGCCGTCTACACATTCTCCATTCTCCTTTCTCCATTTCTCCATTCTCTGTGCATTTTGCATTCAGGATGCGTGGATGCTAGATTTGTTTTCCCCACCCCACCCCACCCACCGCCGTGTGCCTCATTGTGCGATGGGAAAATCATGTCCATGCTGCTGGGAATACAGAGAGGGAGCGGGTCGGGTCGGGTCCCATGGACTGCTGACTGCTTTATGAATGCATAATTTTATTATGCACAAATTCTATTTACAGGGCCCGACACCATCACCACAGCCCATCACCAGCATCACGCCACCACAGAGTGTTGCCCTCGGCGGGGGTGGCGCGGGGTCGTTTCATTGGTTTCCAGGCTACACCTGAGGCCCGAGGCCTCGCTGGCAACTTTTCGATGGCATCTCGCATGCAGATTTCATTTTCATTTTCATTTCCATTTTCATTGTAATTAATATTTGCATTTCAATTGCATTTTGGCCGCGCTCTGGCCACGCCCACACACAATTATCACATATGTATGTATGGCGGGGCATTGATTAAACATTTAGCGGCGAATCGCTTGCAAAAATATTTGCAAGTACTTCGTACAGGCGGGCCCTGTCTCTCTCTCTCCCCTCTCTCGCTTTGGCTAATTATGGCGGCACCTCTGCCAGGGGCGGGGGCGGGGTCGGGGTTGTTTATTGGGTCTCCTAACAGAAAGTCAGCCAAATGGAAACCTCAACAGCGCTTGGGCCAGAGGATTAGGGCAGGGCATTGGGTTTCAGGTTTGGGTTTTGGGTGTTGTCCGGACATTGGCATCTGGTTATGGCACCAGGCACCAGGCACCAGGCACCAGGCGATGATTGCTTCCCCGGAGCGACATCAGAGCATCGACATTGACATGGTCCAGTGCCTATAAATCAACAGCTGCAGCAGCTCTCTCTCTCTTTTTTTTCCACCACGAGCTGAGGGAATGGCAGTGGGGGAGCTGAAATCTTTTCAAGTGGTCAACGGACACAAATCCCAGCCAGCCCAAGCTCAGGGCCCGCATCCTTGTGCCCTTGCGGTTGAATTAAGGCAAACAAAGGGGCAACCGGGCGAGCTCTTACGAGTGTATGGCTCTGGGTGGGGCAGGGCTTTGCTTAGATTACGCATACGCCGTGTTGAGCAGCACATTCTGTGCGCCTCCTCCCTGTAGCGACCAAGAGCGACCCCCCCCTCCCCCATCCCACACACAGTTCGCTCCCTCGACTCTGAATGAGGTCGAGAAAAGAAAGTGCAAGACACATGAAGGCGAAAGAGGAGAAAAATACAAAAACACAAAAACACAAAAACGCAAAAAGGGCAAACGCAAAATGTAAATGGGCTTTTCACAAAATGAATATTAAATTGCACGAAGAGGGGCGGGGGGCAGGGAGCGAGGAGTGCAGCTTAGCCGAGAGTGTTAGACATGTCTGAGCCTTTAACATTAACATGCAGGCAGGCAGGCAGGCAGGCAGGCATTATAACCCATCCGCCTCGTTCCCCTCTCTCTGTCTCTATAGAGACCTCTTCATGCCCTGCCATTTGTGTGATTTGATTTGGCAGCATGCAGCATGCAGCGTGTGGCACTCCCTCAGTGTCAATTGAAGATGCACTCTGAACTCTGCACCTGCACCCTGCACTCTGCACCCTGCAGCCAGAGGTGTGTCGGATGTGCATCTGCGAATGATCCATGGCTTTGCATTCTTCCTCCGTGGCTGTGGATTCGCACATCATCATCAGCTGTAAATCTTAATCCCAATTAGACTTTCGTCTCTGCAGCCACACAACTAATTAGCAATGGGGCTGGAGAAAATCTCGGATATCCTTCTGCGCTACAGCAAATCTCCTTAAATAGATGAGGAAATTCTGGCTCATTTCCCAGCTACCGCTCCCGCTCCCGCTCCCGCCCCCTGCCGCCGCACACAAAGATTGCCTGGCATGAACATTTTGCTGTCATTTCAGGGACTAACCGGGAACTGCCGCATCGTCTGCCACCGCCCCCCCTACATATATGACATGGCATATGCATTGTTTTCAAAATGATTTGCGGTTCTAATTTTTCGCACAGAGAGACACACAATGGAGACAGCGAGTGGGGCCAGTGGCACAGTGTGGCAGAGTGTGGCAGAGTGGGAGAAAGTTATGCATGGCTGCCATACTTTGTCGTCCTTGTCGTCGTCGACGTCGTCGTCGTTTCGTTTCTTATTTCTGTGGCTTTCGCAGCACAACTTGAACAGGCTCTGAGGCGGCTCTGTCTTCTCCATTCCTTCACTTGCCTCTCCTTTCCTTTCCTTGCCTCTCTGGCGCTGACTCTGACTCTGGCTCTGTCTCTCGACTCTGGCGACAAAGTATGCAGCAAGTACAAGCAAAATGCCGCCACAAACCGCATGCTGCTTCAACCTCGCTCAACTATTGCATCTTCTCTTCGGTGCTTCGGTGCTTTGGTGCTCTGCTGCTCTGCTGCTCCTTCGAATGGTGTGGAGCTGCTCTTCTGCTCATTTTGTGTGTGTGTGTGTGTGTGTGTGTGTGGGTGGGGCGCCTAAAACAAAGCAAAAACCGTCGCTTGGTTCAAAATTTCAACTGCTTGGAAATTTATTCATTCCCCTGCTCAAATGCTCAAAATGTTGCTTGGCCCCTGTCTCGTGTCTCCTGTCTCGTGTCTCCATTCTGCCATCAAGCATTTCCATCTTCATTTGTCTGTCGTTTTGTATTTGAGCATTTCGGTATTTGAGTTTTCCCCCCACTCCCCCCCACACTCGCTACCCTTTGACTGCCACAACTGGCTGTGGCAGTTTCAGTGGCAATATGTACATGCACCCCACAAACTTTCCTTCGGCAAATACTCAGTAAGTAAATTTTTAATTGAAACTCTTGTGGAGAAACAGAAACTCACACGGAAATGTTGTCACTGCATGGCAAAGTTTGATAATTCAAATGGCAGAGCATTTAATATTTGATATGTTCTCCCACACCCCTTACACCCCTTACACCCCTTACACTCCTCTGCTCTGTCTCACTGGACACAAATTTAATTTCATTTGTCGAAATCAATTAAAATTCCTTTCGAAATTTATCACCTGCAAAAATGAACGATTTAAGGCAAATTTTGTTGCTGCGGCAGAGTCGCCTGTTTCGGATAACCTTCGGCCGGTGGTGGAGTGCATCAATTACTTGGCTTACTCGCCCTCTCTCTCTCTCTCTCTCTCTGTCTCTCTCTGTCTCTCTCTCTTGTGCTGCGCTTGGCCAAAAACTTCGACTCTATTGCTATGAAAAGTTTCTGTCGCCGGCCGGCTCGAAGGCACACCCAGACACAGCAAAAGTTGAGGTAAGTTGTGTACTGAAGTTAAAAGTTTTGTGCCACACCACACACAAAATGCAGCCCAAGAAGACGGAGACTGAGAGATCGCTGGGCTGCAAGGCGTCTGCATGGCGTAGCACAAATATTTTTCAACAACTTTCCAATGTTTTCGGAAGGCAGCCAGCCAGCCAGCCAGCCAGCCAGCCCGCCAGCCAGGCATCGAATCCCAACTAAATTTACGTGTTCCGTTCAAGCCGAAATCAAAGAAATTTTGTGGGCGGCAGCAGTGGCTGCACTGGCCCAAAAAGTTTTTGTGTGTTTTTTAGTAGAGAAAATACCAAAAGAAAAGAAAAGGAAAGGAAAAGCAGACAGCAACTATTTTCTCTCAGTGCATGGAGCAGTGCAGTTTGTTTTGCAAATTTTTGGCCATGTCGTGGGTGGCAGCTCTCACTTTAACCATCAGATCAGCCAGGGCCAAAATCAGGGCTTCCCTCTGTCTGTTTGGCTGTCTGTCCCTGTCCCCGACCCGACCCGACCCGAGCGGTTGTTGTGTTGTGTTTTGTATGTTGTGTGTTGTGTGTTGTGTTGCACTGCTGATTTATCTGGTGAACGCGCCAAATGCGTGTAAACATGGGTCCTAGAGTCCTAGAGCCGCCACTCGATTTGGCTGCTGCTGTTTGATGCTCTGCCCCGTGCCCCAATAAGTAGGCAATGGATTTTTGCCTGCCTCCCACTCAGCGGCATTCCACTCGATTGCGAATGTTTTGTGGCTGCCGTGTGGGCAGTGTGTGTGTGCCCTCACTCTCTCTCCCTCTCTCTCTCTCCTTATCTATGTAACAACTCGTCCCTCGTCTAATGGCCACAAATTAAAGACTTTGTTCGGACAAAAGCTGAACTTTCATTAATCGCAGCAAATGTCAGCGCGCACAGATTTCCAGAGTGGCAGCAGAGGAGCATGGAGCATGGAGCGGGTAGTGTACTACAAACTATCAAAATAAATAACAGAACGTGACGGCCACGTAACGTGCCACATTCTCTCCGCCATGCCTGCCACTCTTGCCACTCTTGCCGCACAATTGGCACACACAAACGAAACTTTTCAGCCACGAAAATTGCACATAAAACTTAATTAGTTTTTTCTCTCTCTGTTTGGGTCTGTTGTTTGTTGCAGCCGCTGCTGTTTGTCTTTGTCTATGTATGGGTGAGTGCCGCTTCCGCTTCCACTTCCACTTCCTGTACGTGTCGCTGTGTGTGTGTGTGTGTGTGTGCTTCGTGCCGTTTGGTCATTTTTATCATTTGCACTTAATTAATTAAGTTGTAGCATTTTTATTGCCCAACAGCAACAAGAACTACAAGGGATACAAGGGGCATAACTACCACACAGACACACACGATTACACTTACACATTATGGGGCGTATGTTTATGGGGGGAATGCCCCCCCACCATTCCCGTTCCTTTGCCCCTAAGAAATATCAAACTCCAACAGGGAATTCCATCGCAGAGAGAGGCATTGAATACTCTGGATTCTTCAAGGACCAGTTTTTACTCTCACTCTGTTTTACTTCAGTGGAAGTCTCCTGCCGCCCATCTTTATCCCTATATGATGTATTTTTCTGTTCCCAGGTAAGGCTCCATCCCCAGCCATAATTGGATTTGCCGAGGGGCAAACCAAACACAGATCCATATGTACATAAATATATGTACATACATATATGGTCCAGGGAGTACGTATGTGTGTGTGTGTGTGTGTGTGTGTGGCATGTGAGTAGATATAAAAAATTGATCAACTTAGGGAGGCCATCGACTGTCGTTTATAAAAATTGCCGTAAGCATAAAAATTAATAGCCAGGAGATGGCAAAAAGTGGAGGGGGAGCATGTTTTTGCTCCATTGAAATGGGCATGGGCATGGGCATGGGGGGGGCTTGAAGTAGAGCCTGTTGTCGACCTGGTCTTCTGCTTCAAGTACGTGTAATATCAATAAAATTAAGCCCAGCCAAGGGGGGCCCCAGAGCGAAAGCAGAGCCAGAGCCTCAACCAGAGCCTTTGCGCGCAATCATAAAAATGCGACAGTGCCAAACAATAAGCTGAAAGCCTCTTACATGTATCTTTATGCCCCATGCCCCATGCCCCACCATGCCCCACCATGCACCAACATGACGCCCACACTCTCTCACTTTGGCCGCCGTAGCCGTAGCCGTCGCCGTCGCCGCCGTGTCGCTTCTAATGCGACTTGAAAAGTCAACGACATCCGGAGCCCTGGAACAGAGGTGGAGGTGGCAGCAGGAGCATCAGGCATCAGGCAGAAGCCAGGGGGCAGGGAGGGAGCAGGGAGCAGGGAGCAGGAGGAGGCATAGAGAGGGAAAGGCTTCCAAATGCGGCGCGTCATTGTTTTGCCCTGAAGGAGCTTCAAGCTGAAATCCAAACCCAAACCTCGAACCCAGCACCCAGCACCCAGCAGCGCAAAGCGCCCGCTCTGCCATGCTGCAAGTGCCAACGCAGCAGTCCTGTCTTCCACCGCTTATGTGGCGTACACAGTGGTGCAAGTGCCTGCAAAACGGACCATCTTCAAAGGTTCTTAATCCCCCGAAAGCCTCTTGGGACAGCAGCCACCATCTGTCGCACTTGCCCGCCTTTGAACGCCTAAATGCGACATGGAAATTGAGGAGACTGGAGGAGCATGCACTGGACTCTAAGCCACTCGGAAAATCATCTCTAATCGATACATTCCAGCCATGGATGATGCACCACTGTAAGCCACTGTAAGCGCTCTTGCTGCTGCTGCTGTTGCTGCTGCTGTTGTTGTGGGGTGAAGTGCTGCTTAAATATGAAAAACTAACTCGCAGCTGCTTTCCACATTTTGCTGCACTTGACACTAAATTCACTTTGGCCAAGTAGGTGCTTCGTGCACTTGAGGCGCACTTTCGCTTGACAACCAGCAACCGGCAAACGCATCCTGGCTGCTGGCTCCTGCCTGCTGGCTCCTGCCTGCTGGCTCTTGCCTACTGGCCACAGGCTGAGCTTCGGTGTGTGCGGTGGTGGTGGAATGTGGTGCAGTGTCGCTCGGAGGAGTGCCCATGCTTCGGTTCGGCTGCACTGTTGCATGCGAGCATTGGGTGGGTGTCCTCTTCAGGTGCTCTCATCCAGCCAGCTGCACAATGTGCCAGCGTACGTACATATATTTATTTTATTACTTAAATAAATTACAAAATGGTAGTCGGTTAACCAAAGCCAGAGCCAGAGCCAAAGCCAAATGGCCACCCAGGGCTGTCACACATACCCAGAACTAGAACCCTTCCGTCCTCACCCTCGCCCTTGCCCTCGTCTGGCTGCATAGTTGAGGAGCTTAGCGCATAATATATTGTTGCCATAGGTAGCTGCAACAGCAAGGGGCAAGAGGCAGGCGGCAACCTACTGTTGCCCCTGCAGCCATTCCAACCAAAAGGCAACAAAATGTTTGTTGGCCACTAACCGGCGACGATGATGGGTTGGGTAAGGCAAGGTGATGGTTGCTCTGGCCTGGTCTGGTCTGGCCTGGCTATGGGGGATAGGCGACTGCCAAGTGCAGAGCAGAGCAGAGCATGTGGCTAACGAATAGTCCTCACTGGCTGGCAGGTTGCACATGTGGCAGGCAGCCACACGCAGTTCACTTCTAGTGTGTGGCATGAATGAAACTTACGGAGAAACTTTTGTTCGCCAAAACACACTCGCAACATCATCATGCTGCAGTCACCCGAAGAGTGCTGCCAGCTCGGATTCATGTAGATCACTTGACAGATCCATCAGCGGATCACTCGCCCATTCCACTTCAAGCCCAAGAGTGGCAAGCCCACAGATCACCTGCCGCGAAAGAGCGACCACCTACCACGCAGAGCCCCAGAAGATGGCAAACACCGAGCTCAAATATCCTATATGGAGCAACTCCCACTGTGGAAAGCTAAATCAGGTGTATCATATAGACCCATCCAGCCCATCAGAGATGCCTTGCCTATCAGAGATATTTGAAAAGCTGCTCCTGAATCGTATCAAACAACAGCTACAGCTACAGCTACACCTACACATCAACGGTGCCATCCCGATGCAAAAATTTGAACAAGTAAAACGCATAATTTCAATCGAATTGCATGCTGAATGCTCATAGTTAATGCTTGGAATGGAATGGAATTCCATGAGGATTTCCTGCTAACTTACTTACCCTTTGATTCAGCCATCCATCCATCCATCCAGCCATCCATCCATCCGTCCACGAATGACAATCAAATAAAAGACTCTCTTCATTTGGCTTTCAATTCTTACGTATATGTATTATCATTCTCAATTTCAATTTCAATTTCAGTTTCGGTTTTGGTTTTTATCTAAGTATTTACAAATGAACTCCGAATGGGGAATGGGAATTATTTTGGAGTGGGGGCTGCTTGGGGGGGCTTTCTTCTTTCTTTGTTTGTTTGTTTGTTTGCTTGGGGTATGGGCTTTTCTACGGTATTCGAATCGGTCGAATCGGTCAAGTATTAGGGGTATATTCTTGTATATATATATATAAGTATATATAATGTATGTATATGTATTTGTATAATCATCGTTACAGTTATGTATTTGTATTTGTATTTTTATTTTTGTATTTTCGTATTTTCGTATATGTATATGTTACGCTTACGCTTATGCTTGTGTATGTATTGCAATATTGTTCAGTTAATTTCGTTGAAAGTTCTCCATTTGATTAGATGCCATCCAAAGGAAACAAAAATACACGACTACACAAGAAAAGAATTTCCACTTTCCACTGACTGGACAGATCGATCTGCATGCTCCTCGATCTCGATCTATCCATAGTAGTTGCCCGGCGCCTGGGTGGGATAGCTCTTGGGTCCGCCGTTAGAGGAGGCGGAGGCGGATGAGTCGCTGGCCGATCCCCCACGGGAGGAGGGATTCTCGCTGAAGAGGCCGCCAAAGTTCTTCGAGCTGAAGATGTCGCCCAGGCCACCGCCGCCGCCGCCGCCAGAGCTGGCGCGATTGGCGTTGCCGCCGCCATTGAGGAGGCTGCCCAGGAAGCTGCTGGCGCCGCCCGATGAGCCACCAGCATTGGCACCGCCGCCAGACAGCACGGAGCCGAGTAGACCGCCCAGGATGTTGCTGCCACCGCCGCCGCCTCCAGAAGAGCTGCCTCCGGATGAGCCGCCGCCATAGCCGCCGCTGGGCTGATAGCCGCCGCTTGGATAGCCATTCGAGCTGGCAGCACCGCCACCTGCACCGCCACCGCCTCCTCCCTGCAGCTGCTTGGCTATCTGGCCTGCAATGATACCGGAAACCGCTTGACTCACCGCCGGATTCGAGAAGAAGTTGGAGAAGAAGCCGCCCTGCTTGTCCTTGGGCTTTTGGCCTCCTTGGCCGCCATCGCCGTTGTTCTCGTAGCCAGGTGCCGGCGGTGTGTAGCCGGGCCTCGGCTGATATCCGCCGGGCGCCGGCTGATATCCGCCATTGCCGCCGTTGTAGGGGTTGTAGCCACCGCCAGCGCCCTGTGGGGGCTGCTGTGGGTTGTAGCCGCCATAGGGATTGTAGGGTGCAGCACCACCACCACCATTGCCATTGCCATTGCCGCCAGACTGGGGGAGACTGGGATAGAGACTATGGCCGCCAGCCGAGAAGCCACCACCATATCCACCGCCACCACCGTTGCCATTTCCGTTGGAGCCGACGCCGCCGCCGCCGCCGCCACCATAACCAGCGCCACCGCCCGCATCCGCATCCGGCAGCGGGGCACTTGGTGGATTCGGGGCATACGAGTTGTGGGCACTGCCGCTCACCTCTAGCGTGGGATTACGGGCGTGTGATTGGCAGTGTGTTTGGCAGCGTGGCAGCGGAAGCAAGCAGTTCAAGCAGTTCAAGCAGTAGTTGTGTATTTTTCCAGTACGCGGGGGCGGGGGGGTTAGCCACAAAACAAAGCGCAAAGCGAAATGAAATTGAAAAAAAAAACAAAACAAAAAAAAACACAAAAGAAACGAAAAGAGAACACAAAAGTGGATTAAGAAATGATTTAGAAGGATTACGGGCTTGGATTAAACGGATAAAGCATTAGAGGGTGTTGGGCAGGGGTACGGGGGAAGGGGTTGGTTGGGTGTGAGGGTGGGGGTGGTTGATGGGACTTAGCTTAGCTTAGCATTTTTCTTAAATATTAATTTTGCTCTTAGTCGCGTATTTTCGTTTTGTTTTTTTTGTTTTGGTTTGGATTTTGATTATACATATATGTAATTGTATTGTAATCGATGTTTTGTAATCGATTAAAATCTACACAACTTTGAGTTTGTCTGTCATCGTTATCGTTATCGTTATCATAATCGTTGACGTCTCTCGCTTACTGTCTATATAAGTCTTCATCTGCCATGCCATATAATCATCATACATACATATATTAAATATATATCTTTTACATCCATATGCTCGTACTTAGAGATACTTTTATGCAGATTAGAGTATCTCTTTGTGTGTGTGTGTCTGTCCCTGTGTTTGCTATATACAATCCGTCAAAACTGTTGCCTGTTGTCTCCTGTCTGTACTTTTAGTTATAGTTTTTATTAGTTTTTAGTTTAAGTGTTAATTTTAATTGTAATTTTAATTGGTATTAGTAGTAGTAAATACTCTCGAATACTTCTTGTTGGGTCTTTGTTTGTTTGCTTGTTATCTTTGCCCGTTTTGTGTATTTCTGTGTGTGTGTGGGGGGGGGATTAGTATCTGTATTCCATGCCTTAGGTGTAAGTACATACGAGTATCTAACTGCAACTCTTTCTCTCTGTCTTTCTCTTAATAAAATGCCAGCCACTGTGTTAATACTGTTTTGAATGGTTCTGTTTGGTTGCTTTAGTTTGGTTTTATTTGGTTTCGTTTGGTTTCATTTGGTTTGGTTCTTCTGCGGTTTAAAACGTATTGAATGTGAAATGAAGTTGCGTGTGCAAATGCAAATATTTGTTATACAAAAAACGGATAAACGGACGGAGTAAATATTCTCTCTGACTCCTTTTTTCATTACAGACAGAAAATTCAGAATTAACAGCTACAGAAATGAGCATTGTCGGGCCTTAGAAAACATCGACAAACATCGATATTGCATCTACAAATACTAACTGGCATTCGTACGTATCCTTAATCCCTGCCTCGTTTTATTTTATGTATTTTTGGCTTTAGTGGTGTGTGTGGTTTTCCCTTTCCCTTTCCCTTTGTGTGTGTGTGGTGTGTGTTGGTGTGTATTTTCTCTGGCAGTTGGCTAGCAAAATGTAAATGTAAATGCATTTTAGTGACAGTTTTCCGTTTTGATTAGAGGTTTACGTTTAAGTTAATATTAGAATTAGAACACACCTTAGAGCTCTAAAAATGTTTTTTTCTTTCTGATTCTATTTCCATTTCCATTTCATTTTTAAAATGTCATTCAGTAATTAGTTTTTTTTTGGTTTCTTCTTGTTTTATATTCGTATTCTTATGTATTTGGTATGACAAAAAAAAATAGCTTCTGTCTGGGGGGTTGGGGGCACTTGGTGCACCTTCCATTTCCCATTTCCCATTTCTTATTTCTTATTCCTTCTCCTCTTTCTCATGTAGCTCATTATGCATTTTGATTGACATGCGTATCTGGTATCTACAACACTATATGTATCGGTATCTGTATCTGTATCTGTATAATGCATCTATGTATGTATCTATGACTGCAGCAGTGGCTCGGCTAAAAATCCAACACACAAATTGTGGCTAAGAGCTCTCGCTCGCTCCGGTTGGCAGTCCATAGTCTGACCGCAAATTCGTAACATCAACAAAAATGAAATTAACATCAACATCAACATCAGCGTCAAAGTCCAGTGCAGGCCCTACTCTGCCATGTGCTGGCATCTCTTGCCCTGGCTGCCTCCTCCTGTATGTATCAGCATGTGTGTGTGTGTGTGTGTGTGTGTGTGCTTCCATCTCTGTTAAAGAGTTAGAGAGAGGCCAGGCCGCTGCCTCCTTTCTGTCTAAGCTCGAAATTAAATTCCAATTTAATTGAGCTGCAAAAAAGAGCAGCCAGCAGCCAGCAGCCAGAAGCCTCTCCCGGAGGAGCTGGAGGTTGCCTGATGGTCGAAACACACACACACACACACCACACACACACACACACAGAGAAATGAACTCGTGTCCAGTGAGCCATGCAACACTCCACCCCCCTTTCTCTTGCTCTTTTTCTCCCTCTTTTAGCTGTTCTGCACAATATTAAATTGAAATTACGTATACGTGGTGTGGTACACACAAAAACAGGCACTCAACAGGAGGGTGCCCATCTTCTACTACTCGCACTGAATGGATGTTGAGGTGTTCTCTTAAATGCAGAATCTCCAAGAGTTGCCACTGCCACTGCCACTCGCTGCTGTCTGCTGTCTGCTGTCTTAAGCTTAACAAATTGTAGGAGCAAAAACCCAAAAGAAATACAATAAATGCGGATGGGGGGGGGGGAGGAGAAATACGAGTATGTGGGAGGAACGAAAGAAGAAACAAAAGGAAATATTGACGAAAAACGAAAGCATTGCAAATTTGTTTATTTTTTAAGATTTTGCATTTCGGGGATGATCGTCGTCGTCGTCGTCGTCACTGCTGCCACATTTTGCTGCCGCTTCATCTTCATCTGCCGTTGGAGATTATTACGTCCGTGCTGCAGTGGCGAGCAGCAGTCCCACAAGCACCGCCGCCCCGAGGGTGACCGGAGCCAGTCCGGACTTGGAGCCCGCTGCTGCTGATGGATGCGCCTGGGTCTGGCGATTGTAGGGATTCTGTTGGTTCTGATTCTGGTACTGTGGCGGCGGCTTGTTGAACATATTCGCGCCCGAGTGCTGGCTCTGGTAGCCCTGATAGTTGCTGCCGTAGGGGGCAAGGCCGCCGCCGCCGCCGCCAAGGATGCCCAGCGTGGAGCTGGGCAGCCCGACGCCGGCGCCAATGCCGACATTGCCACCACCGTTGCCGCCATTGGGTGGGCCGCCCGTTCCAGAGGGACTGCCGCCATAGAACGGTATCTGGCCGAATACGAAGGGTGGATTGTACGGGTTCACCGGCTGCAGGCCGTGCATGGGATATCCGGGATTGAGGACGCTACCTGGATGATTGGGTTGGGGAAACTGTTGAAACGAGGGCGCTGAAGTGGGGGAGTTGTAGGGGAATATGGGCATATTGGGTATGACTGGCATGTGGTGCTGGGCCCCAAAAACATAGTGCGGATCCACAATGCCCGTCGACGAGGCGCCCGCAGCCCCCTCTGCGTTCTGGCCCCCGCCGCCGCCATTCCCCGAATGTCCGCCATTACCGCCACCGCCACCATTGTGCTGCATCTGCATCTGCATCTGTTGCTGGTGATGCTGCTGGTGGTTGCCATTGCCATTGCCATTGCCATTGCCGTGGTTCTGGTGGTTCTGGCCCGTGTATGTGTTTAGCGTGGGATTCGATGAGGCGGGTGCAAAGATGTTGTTCTCAGGTCCGGTGTTCAGACTCGATCCTTTGTTTGATTCAGGCATTAGTAGCAGTAGTAGTAGTAGTAGTAGAAGGAGGCAGGCAGGCATGATTGTATGGGGGCAGAGATAGAGAGAGAGGGAGCATATGGGTTTGGGGGTTAGTTATGCCTGTTGCATGTTGCATGTTGCACGATGCATCTGCATGCTGCATGATCATCATCTGCCACAAGATGCGCAGTGGCTGTGAAATGAGGCGATGAATGAGCGAGCGAGGCTGATTGATTGATTGATTGATTGATTGATTGATTGGCAAAAGCTCTCATGTGTGTGTGTGTGTGTGTGTGTGTTTAGAATAGAAAATGATGCAAACGAAAATTCAATACAATTTTCAAGTGTTTTCCCCTTTTTTCCCATTTCAATCTCCGATATTTTCCATTTGTTTTTTTTGTTTTTTTCCGCCCCACAAAAGCAAAATGATAAACAGGGCAGGGCAGGGCAGGGGAGGTTGGGCAGGGGAAGGAGGAGTAGGTAAGGGCCAAAGGGCGTTGGGTCGGGAGGGGGCGGACCGGGCCGGGCCAAAATAATAAAATAAATACCTGACGGATTAACAGAGGGCGCTGCCTGGTTCGTGCTGGAACTGGAGCTGGAGCCAGTGCGGCGCTTGCAGGTCGGATAGCTGCCGCAGTCCTTGCCGTCCCGTTGGCTGTAGCTGCACGAATCGCTGGTGATGACGCACTCCTCCGTGGGCAGACATCCAATGTCTCCGCATCCGCGTCCATACTCTGCATTATGGGAAGGACATTCGGCATTCGTTCGTGGTTCGAGGGGTTCGAGGTGCAGTTCAATTGGGGGTTTTTTTTATTTCATTACGGTTTTGGGGTCATTCATTGTGTGGTGTTCATTTGTGTGTGGGGGGAAATCGAGTCAAAATTATACAAAAAAGAAAAGAAAAAAGAAAAGGATAATAAAATTATAAAATTCGCTAGAGATTCTAGAGGTGCGATAGGGTTCTGGGTTCTGGTTTCTGGTTTCTGGTCTGTTTGCTCTTTTTGGATCGAATGATGGTTCAATGATGGGAGAGGGTGAATGAATTCATGATGTACATTTTCGATATTTAAATTTTACAGATCTTCTTTCTTCTGGGAACAACAAACAAAAGAACACCGCCGGATGCAAACACATTCGGTGGAATGGAATGCCTTTGCATCATCGGGATGCCAAACATCACGTATACGTACTGGAGTATGCGTCCACGCTGTTGAGGGCCATCAGGGCGAGGAGTGGAAGCCACAGCATCGTCCTCTTGCTCAGCGTTGCCACGCCCATAGCTCTCGATATAGATATGTGGGCGAGACTGTCTTGAGAGTTGTGTTGTGTGGTTGTTGTGTGCGTTTTGCTCTGCAAACAAACGAATAAAATAAGAAAGAAAGTCAATTTTGTGGTACAGTGCATGGCAAAAGCATAGGTACATGAGCATATAAAATGTCTACTGTTCCCCCCTGCCCAAGTCTAGACTCTAGATAGCGGCGGGGAAGAGACAACAGACATGTCCTCGTATTATTATTTATATGTTGCAGCAATCCCTCTCTCTCTCCCTCTCTCTCTCTGTCTCTCTTTCTCTGACTGCAGAGTGCAGACAGACGGCGGGGACCCTTTTGGCACCAGCCAAGTTTATTTATCACATTGACAGCTGGCTCAAGTTCATTGCGGTTTATGCCCGTATGCGTCACAGAGACACACAGCAAAAGATACAGATACAGATACAAAAACAGACAGCAGCAGCAGCAGCGAGCGACCAAATGGCGTCTCATTCGTTTGGCTCTTCTTTGTTGTTGGCCTTCCTTTCGTCAGTGCCCGCCCACAAAAGTGCGGCAAATGTCACAAGCCATCGAAAAGTTTGTGTGGAAAATTCCAAAGAAATAACTAGAGAGAAGGAGGGGCGAACTTTGGACCGAAGCCCATGTGGTGCAGTACATTTTGGCAAATAATATTTTATTATCAATCCATAATCAATTTGTTGACTGAATTTCATGTGGATTACATGTGGATTCCATTCGGAATCCAATGTTAGCGCTCTGCTATGTTAATGCTCTCGTGATCCTCTTCCGAATTGCTCGCTCATGTTGCTGTTGCTGAACATGGTATATGTACATTGTGTACAATTTAATGCTTAAATAATATTGTAATAAAACGCAAGCTTTATTATTTCTTCATTGATTTGGGATCGCTTGTCAGAGGGTTGGGAAACAGCCAATGAATGAATGCTCTGCTGTCATCTTGTGAAACCTCCAGTCATGCCACCTGATGGGACCACTCCATCATCCCTTCCCACCCCCCTCCCCGACCAGCAAAACGCCTTAATCAATTGCCAAAAGGAGAACACACCAAAAAGGGAAAGAATTTATTCAGCATTTCAGTAGGCAAACAATTTCCAAGAACTTTTTCATAATTTCCTAGGCCACTGATCCACTCGACTGCCTGTCCGTCCCTCCCCTTGTCCCCTTGTCCCCTTGTCCCCTTTAATATTTGCATATTCAAATTTTTGCAAATGACTTGGCAACTTTTCAAGAGGGGTTGGGGGGTGGGCTGGTTGGGTTTGGTTTACTGGAAAATGTTGCTTAGCCCTGAAGGAAATTAATTTAACAGAATTTTGTGCAGTATTTTTTTGTGTGCCTTCATTTTCTGGGGTCTTTTGATTAATTTTGAATTGCGCTTAAAGATTTTTGTCATTCTTTTGCCGGAAATGGAGAAGTGGAGAAATGGGGGAGAAATGGGGGAGATGGAGGAGGCACCAGGCGATTGCACAGCAAATGAAAACGCATAAATTCGGTTTTCTGTCTATGATTTGTGTCTTGCTTCATTTGTCCCCCCCCCCCCCCGCCATCCTCCCAGGAAAAAGAAAAACGAGACACAAAATGACACTGAAATGTGTCTGTGTGGGTGTCTGGGCAGTGACAATATACCCCGTTGGTCATTGCCCACTACAGGGCAGGGTAGCTGGAGCAGGGTATGTTAGATTTCTTCTACATTGAAAGATGCAGATTTGTGGTGTGGTGGCAAAGCAGTTCACTCTCAAGCACGAAAGAAAGCAGGATAGCATGAACAGTTCGGATCAATGCAGTGGATAAGCAGTTAAGGCAGGCAGATGGATGGCTTCAAGCAGTGATCGTCTGAAAAAAAGCTTCCCGTCGCTTTCCAGGGCAAAATCACCGTCTAAACCCCCGTTGCGACGGGGCTCGACCACAACTCAACTCGACTGTTCGCCCGCTCGTCCGCTCGTCCGTCTCTCTGTCCAACAATCCGTCCGTCTGTCCGCCCGCTAGCCTGTCGCTCCTGACTGTGCGCGGGGGGCCACGTCCTGGCCGTTGGTCGGCGGAAGCCAAAAGTGGAAATGCATGATAAATGACACAAGGTTTGGGCTCCGTTTTTTTTTTTTTGTTGCTCTTCCTCCAACTTTTTCATATGCCCCGTGCTGTTGTGGAGAGGGAGGGGCGGTAGCTAGGGGGCGTGTGCCCATGAAGAACGAGAGCGGCAAGAAGTACAACAACAACAAGGATTCTAGGGCAGAAAGAGTGATAAGGAGAGAAGGAGGAGGGAAGGGGAATTCTGTGGAGAAAGTGAGTGGATGTGGAGTGGGCGGGGGTCTATCCCTAGGGGCTAGCGGGGGGTCACAGCATGAAAATTGTGAAACGATGACGTCGTAAATGTTTTGTTGCAACATTTTTCTGTTGTAAGCAAAAAAAAAACAAAACAACAAAAAAAACAAGCAACAAGAAAATGGGAGAAGGCCCCCACAGAGAGAGAGAGAGAGAGAGAGAGAGGGAGAGGGACGGAAGAAAGATGAAGTAAAAACACAGCAAAGCAAACTGTCCGCGAAACGGAAGCGCAAATAAAACAACTGCAAAGGGGTGTTCATCCAAGCAGTGCAAGAGGCAGAGAATGGCGAAGGGGAAGGGGAAGGGGAAGGCGGGAGTGGTGTTGTGGCATTTTTTTGGGGATGAACCCCCGAACGCAAAAAACTTCAGCAATCCAAGCCACAACGAATGCACTGAATGCGCTTCATGTATGAAGGGAATCGAAGGGGAGAGGACACAGACACAGACTCAACAGGAAGCGCAACACTCGCATAATATATTAAGCAATGCGGCTTAAAAAATTGATAAAATGTTTAAAAAGGGTTTTGCAATAGCATAAAACTATTCTCTTTCATTTATGGGGTAAAATAAGGATCCAGAATCATTAGTGATTAGAAATTCGTTGCATTTCATGAACTGCGACTGTAAGCTGTAACCTGCTTGATCTGCACTGCTCTGTCCTTTCTTGCACTGCTTGCGGAAGTAAATTTATTGATTCACTTTTCATGGAAATATTCCCTGCTCTTTCGATTCGTTTTGGAAAGTGTATTCCCATATTCAGTTGGCGTTCAGGGAAAATCCCTTTAATGGCCATTGCCATTGCTTGTACCTCCTGTAGGGTGCAACCACTGGCGCTGCCATAGAGCGAGCGTTACATGGATCCTCGCATACGACCAACCCGTGTGCACGAGTATCCCACCCGTAACTGACACCCGGATAACCGGAATGGCAGACCAACCCAAACCCAAAACCAAAAGCAAAAGCAAAAGGCATAAACCGAAAATTCACACTTGGTTACTTCCTTCATGACTTTGGGATATTATTGTGGTTTATGTTAGTGCCTGTCACTAGTGTGCCCGCCGGCTGTCCAACCACGCCTTCCCCTGCCGCTCTGCCGCTCTGCCACTCTGCCACTCTGTGCCCCTCCCTGGGGAGAGCAGAGCAGCCTGCCTTCTGGCTGATGCCTGACTCTCGCGGGTCGGGCTCTGTGATGTACGACTCCATGAAATGCGATATATTCATGTTAAATTATTTTGCCGAGGCAGAGGGAAAATGGCAAAATGGGTGGTGGGGAAGGCAAAGAAGAAAGCAAGTGACAACTGACTGCGGAAGTGAGAGGGAGAACAAGAGAGAAATCGGAGAGCGAGAGTCACTGACTTTCTATCTATCCCGCCCCCCGCCTGCTCAAAGCCAGAGATAGAGAGAGAGCAAAAGGCGAAGAGCCACAAAGTCAAGAGAGAAAGCAAACAGACAGGAGCGAGGCAGGCAACAGGGGCAGGAGGCAGAGGCAGAGGCGATAGAAGAGTGCAAAAGTTTGGCGCCAGTTTCGAAATTGCAATTGCAATTGAACAAACAATTAAAACTTTTAAATATTGTGACAGCATTTTTCCAGTTAATTGCACAGGCGAACGAACGAGCGAACGAACGAACGAGCGAACGAGCGAGCGAGCAGCAGCTGCATTTCATTTATTCCTCCATTCATTCATTCATTCATTCATTCATTCATTACTTCCAATTCATTTCGAAAAACTTGTCCCTCCGGCAGGGCAGGCAGTTTGCTCTTTTGGCATTCCCCAAATAAAGGTGCAAAAAAAAAAGAACACAAGCAAAAACTTCCCTTTCTCCAACTATTTGTATGCACTGCGAAAAACCTGGGGAAAATCCACTGCAAGTCCCTGGAAAAATGTTGAAAGAGCGCAGTGTAGATTTCAGCAGACTTCCAAGCCCAAAGAGGGACCGACTTTTCCCCCTCAAATGATCCTGCAACGATTCTCTTCTTTCGCTCAGTGTTTGTGCGGCAGTGCGGCAGCGTGGCAGCTGTTGCCGTTGCCGTTGCCGTTGCAGTGGCACCAAAACTGACAAACTGACAACCATTTGTCATTAGCTGTGGGGGCGTTGCACGAAGCAGGCTTACACCCGAAAAAGGCAACGGGCAGGAGTAGCCATAGGATCGACTTTAATTAGCGAACGGTGCGGCGCGTTGTGTCGCATCGCATCGCAGCGCGTTGCAAGAGTTTTGCTGATTTTTCAAATTTATTTCGGGCTTCCCCTGCAAGCACACACATTTCTGACAACATTTTTGGCTTATTAAATTCCTCTCGCTCATAGAGAACAAAAAAAAATGCTGGGGAATGGGGCAATGGAAAATGGGAAAACCCTAAAAGGTACGCTCGAGACTCGCCAACAAAAATGTCAATTTGTGGCACGGGTAGGAGGGAGAGGAAGTGGCAGTGCCAGAGGGAGAGGCAGCGGCAGAGCCATAGTCCCTAGTCCGCAGGCAAACAGCGGAAGGAAGGAAAAACGACTGAAGAGGAGAGGAAAATCTTTTTGTAAGGCAGTTAATTAAAAACTTCACATAAAGAGCACAGGCCATGAACGTGGGCGGGGAGGTGGTTGGCGTGGGGGGTCATGTGTGTGCGATGAAAATGTGACAAAAGGCCCCCTGGCTCCTGTTTTTCTCTGTTCCTTCGTCCCGATTGAAGTTTCCGGACTGCAGCTATAATTAAAAGTCGGCAGGAGCAGCGCAAGCAGCAGCAGCCCCCG